TCATCAATAACATCCTATTTCTGATCATCTCATAATATCTGACATAATCCATTTGATCTGAAAATCATAACATTGTAAAATCGTAACATCTCATCTCTGACCATCACACTGCATCTGATCATAACATCTCAGATCATCAGATTATATATATACCGTTCATAATATCATCGCATCTCATCTCTGACTCATCTCTGGAGATCTCACTGTCACGTCATCTTGTATCACCTACTATTCTCTGTGATTATCAAGTGTTTTGCAAACCCTCAAAGGGGTCGTGAGCTGAAACTGTGCCGTCTGAATACGCGACTGGAATCTAAAGCCGTTTCTCTTCATAATGTTCTGAGCACCAGAGCAATCAAAACAAACCTGCAGGGGCTTCTCGACCTCCACAAAATACTTCATAAACATGCCTCCTCATAAACTCTTTATATATGAATATGAGAGAGGGATGTGGGCGTGTTTGTGTGTGGAGGCTCCGCCCCTCTCACCTGTGTAGTCGTGGAGACACTGGCAGGTGAAGCCTCCCTCGTGGCTGCGGCAGACGCCGTGAGCGCCGCAGGGTTTGGAGTAGCACAGGTCGATCTCCGTCTCGCAGTAGTCGCCCGTGAAGCCGAGCGGACAGCGGCAGCGCAGCCCTGCGATCGGGTGGATCGGCCGGAACAGGATGGTGTCGGACGCCACAAACGGCGCCAGGCTGTCGAACTTCAGCACGGATACACACTTCATGTAGTTCTCGCACGGCTCGCGCAGGCAGATGTTGTCATCGAACGGGAGCACCTCCTGCAAAAAAACAACATCTTAGAGGTGTAACGGTACACAAACATGACGTATGTTTCAGTGCAGCAGGAGGAAAAAGCTAAACATTACTTGCTTCTTTTTTTAATTAAACAATAGTTTACTGAACAAATTGCTCTTTCTTTAAATAAATTCAATTGGAATTTGTATTTTTTTAGGGATACAAATCTACCTCAGCTTCTCTGAACTACAGGGAGCACTTTTACATTACTATACGTTTACAATAAACAACAGAGCCCAAACTTAAATTCAATTACTATACGTGACCCTGGAGCACAAAATCAGTAATTTTTTCGAAATTGAGATTTATGCATCATATGAAAACTGAATAAATAATCTTTCCATTGATGTATGGTTTGTTAGGATAGGACAATATTTGGCTGAGATACAACTATTTGAAAATCTGGAATCTGAGGGAGCAACAAAATCTAAATATTGAGAAAATCATCTTTAAAGTTGTTCAAATGAAGTTCTTAGCAATGCATATTACTAATCAAACATTAAGTTTTGATATATTCACGGTAGGACATTTACAAAATATCTTCATGGAACATGATCTTTACTTAATATCCTAATGATTTTTGGCATAAAAGAGAAATGTATAATTGTGACCCATACAATGTATTGTTGGCTATTGCTACAAATATCCCCCAGCGACTTAACACTGCTTTTGTGCTCTAGGTCACATACAGGGTAACTTGTAATCTGTAACCGATTACATTTCCAAAGTAACCTTCCCAACACACTGTAGATGAAAATGCGGGACGTTTTCTCAACATGCCACCGTACCTGCGAGGAGATCTGCGCCAGCAGGCTGCGGTTCAGATACAGACGCTCCTGCAGCTCCTCCGACCCCAAGAACTCCACCTGACCTCCGCTGCTGACCCCGTGACCCGGGGCCGCCACCGACAGGCTGACGTTCAGGATGCCGGCACTGACGTCTGTGTCGTCCTGGATGTTGAAGACCACCACGTCTTCACGGGACGCCGAGAGAACGCGGGCCACGCCCTCCAGGAACTGAGCCAATAGGAGCGAGAGGAAGCGCTCCTGCGACGTGTCGGCCAATCGCAGCGTGATGCTGTTGGAGAGCATCTCGTCCGTGATGATGGTGACCTGCAGCAGACACTGAGCTGACACCGAGTGAACGCCATCTACAGGGACACAGAGGAACGAACAATCACTCAATCACTGCAACGATACTAACTTGAAGGAAAAGGTCACAGAAAGAATGTTTTTCTTACAATTACTCGGATTATTGTGATGGTTCACTTAAATGAATCGGTTCAGTTGGATGGTTCACTTAAGCGAATCCGTTCTTTCGCATGTTTCACGTAACTAAATCAATTCATTTGAATGGATGAACTGTTTTTTTGGGATAGTTCACTTACATGAATCGGCTCATTTGGAAGATTTACCAAAATGAACTGTGTTGAATGAATTTGTTCTTTCGGGTTAGGTCTCTTATATGAATCATTTATTTTAGATGGTTCACTTACATAAATTGGCTTATTTGGATGATTCACTTAAGTGACTCAGTTCTTTCGCATGTGTCATGTAAATAAATCAATTAACTTGAATGTATGAATTGGTTCTTTGGGATAGTTCACTTATGTGAATCAGTTCTTTCGCATGTTTCAAGTGAATAAATCTATTAATTTAAACGGTTCACTTAAATGAATTGGTTTATTTTGATTGTTTACTTATCTGAATCAGTTCATTTAGATGGTTCACTTAAATGAATTGGCTCATTTGGATGATTTATCAAAATAATTTGTTCAATTGCATGGTTCATTTACGTTTTTTTCAGTGAATCTTCCAAATGAATGGGTTCTTTTAAGTGAACTGTCCAAATTAACAAATTAATTTAAAGTGAACCATTCAAATGTTTGGATTCATTTCAAACTAACCATCTAAATGAATGAATTAATTTCAGTAAATCGTCCACATGAACAGATTTTAGTGAATAGCCCAAATTAACAGATTCATTTCAGTGAATCACTGATTTCTGTGAATCATCCAAATTCATTCATTTATTTGAGTGAACCATCCAAATAAAGGGATTCATTAAAGTGAACCATTCAAATGAACCGATTCATTTAAGTGAACGGAGCTAAACTAAACAACTCATTTAAGTGAACCATCCACACAAATCCATTAATATGGATTATTCACATAAATAAAAATCCCTTCATTTGGTTGGTTCACTTAAATGAATCTGTTAATTTAAATGGTCGACTCAAATTTAGATGATCACTTGAAATAAATCCATTCATTTGGACAAAAGAAGTGGTTCATAAGTAATTGACTGATTCAGTCACTGTGCTTCAGTGTTGTTAGCTGCTAGTTTGACTGTACTTTAAATGCTGAATATCTTGTAGTTTGACTAACTTCCCATCATGGTTTTGGCTCTAACGAGCAGCGTTTCCTTCAGCACAATCTAGCAGTGATCGCTAATTGACCGAACACTCATCCAATCCACCGGGATGCAAATAAACGGCATTAATCCTCCGCTCCGAGCACCTGCCAATAAACATCTGATCCGGGTCCAGGACAGCAGTCCAAACACAGAGAAAGGATTGCTGGAAACCACTTACAACATCAAACCGAACGCTCCACTACACTAACAAACAAACACGTTCATCAGACTCAAATTAGGCTGATTAATGCATGCATTCTTCAAACCAGAGACACCAAACACATTCAGACTGCACTTATAATCATGAGTTTCACCTGATAAAGCTGACATATTTACACTTCTTTTACCTCAACAGCATTTCCAAATCTCCTACCGTAAATATATCACAACTAAATGTTTGATTAGTAATATGCATTGCTAAGAACTTCATTTGAACAACTTTAAAGATGATTTTCTCAATATTTAGATTTTTTTGCACCCTCAGATTCCAGATTTTCAAATATTGTCCGATCCTAACAAACCATACATCAATGGAAAGCTCATTTATTCAGCTTTCAGACAATGCATAAATTGACAAATGCATGAAAAATAGACCCTTCTGACTGGTTTTGTGCTCCAGGGTCACATATAATAGTATTTTGAATTAGCTTTAATTTTTATATTTTCAATTCTCATTTTAATTTTAGCTTTAGTAATTTTACTTTAAAAAAACAAAATGTTTTTTACTTCACCTTTAGATTTAGTCATTTTAGTACTTCAAGTTACAGATATTTAATTTCAGTTCATTACCAAGCCAACATTCTAACTCAGAATTAATTATGTTCTAACTATGTTTTTAAAGTTTTCATCTAATATCCATATTTTGTTCTTTCAGCTTTCAGTTAATGAAAATGATTTTTAACAGTTTTAGGTAACAATAGCAACACAGGCTAAAATAAAGTAAACTGACACTAAAAAACAACAACAACAATGAAATGAAATTAGTATATTTAAATATGTAAATAGTCAATAACGAACTGGAAAATACATATTTACTCCTGACCACAGGTTTCTGTACAGTATATTTTGATCATGTATATTTAGTAGCTTATGACCCAAGTCTGGAGACTGAGAGGTTGTCTGATTTGAATAAAACAAATAATAACAGCCTGTCAGAGCAGTCACACGCCTCCAATCAACACCCGAGCTCAAACCAGCCGATGACCGTAATAAATCAGCTTCAATGCAGATTCACTGTTTCACAGCCTGAGAAACGACTTGAGTTTAACCTACATACAAACACGCAAGACACGTGAACACACACACACACACGCTCTAAACCACCATCACTCCGACTGTTCATTTCAATCAGCTGGCTTATTTGGACTTGCACTTCAATTAATCCATTCATTTGGACTGTTCACTTATACAGAATCGGTTCATTTGTATGGTTCACTGAAATGAATCTGTTCATTTGGACTGTTCACTTATAAAGAATCGGTTCATCTGTATGGTTCACTGAAATGAATCTGTTCATTTGGACTGTTCACTTATAAAGAATCAGTTCATCTGTATGGTTCACTGAAATTAATCTGTTCATTTGGACTGTTCACTTGTAATGAATCTGACTGTTCATTTTGATGGTTCATTACGTGAATCGTTTCATTTGCATGGTGGATTTAAGCTTGGTTAATTTTAATCAGTTGGTTAATTCGTACAGTCCACTTAAACTGATCAAGGGTGCGACCATAGTTAGCTAACCATGCTTTTGAGGAACTGTTCATTTAGACATTTCTCTTAAATGAATCCATTCACTTGGAATGTTCACTTATAATGAATCGTTCATTCTGGTGGTTCACTTAAGTGAATTGGTTCATTTGCACGGCTCACTTAAATCAGTTTATTCAGATGGATAATTACACAAGCATGATGTCTTCACTTCATGATCAGCGTTCACTCCAATGTACAAATCTCCAATATGTGACTGATTAGGAAAGCCGCTCACTGTTTGATGGACAGGTGAAGCAGCCAATCACAGCTCAGACATGAACGCAGTGATGAGTTCATCATGACATCAGTCTGAACCCGTCTGCGTTTCACTCTCACATTCTTTCAAACTCAATAGAAACGTGAGATGTGCAATCTCCCCAAGCGGCAGGTGAAACCTGAGGAGAAACCGGCACTGGAGGCTCCCACAATGCACTGCAGCGGCTGAGCACTGTAATCAAGCCGTCAAGAGGCCAATCACTGCCTGTGTGTGTGTGTGTGTGCGTGTGTGTGTGTGTGTGTGTGTGTGCG